AAGAATTGTTACTTAAGATACCTATACAGCAACTGAGAAAGGGTTTTTTTTTCATAGTACCAGGGTTATGACAGAGAATGTGGAGACTATGATGAGATGATAGACCTGAATACATCTCTACTTCATTCATCTCTTTGCTGACAAATTCTTTTTCTCCTGAGGTTTGAGGTATAAGACTACTCTAATTTCTCTATAGAAAAAAAGAGAAGTGGAAGAGGCAGAAATCAAGGCCCTCTGGTAAGACATAAGGAATACAATCAAAAACTCCCTAGACTTTGTGAAATAGAGCTCTGTTGTGGATAGACTGGTGGATGGAGTTGATAAATATAGTGGAGATGTGGGCCCCAGATTGGCATCAGCATCAAAAATTGCTGAAGAATCTATAGCTGGAACCACTACACAGGAAGCCTTTGAAGAGATGACACCCAACACATCATGAGACAAGTATTATCTGGAGACTAAGATCTTAGAGAATCCAGGTAAATCACCACAGGTTCATGACTTGGAAAGACTCATGTGAAGTGGACTCCATTACATCTGGTCAGCCACACCCACTTGAGACTGCAGCTCACAATGAAAGCAAGGAGGTACTACTGACAAAGTGTATGAAATCTGGAGCACTGAGCAGCACAGAGCAAGATTCATCCCCCTTTCCATGTCCTCAGTTTTGATTCCCAGGATCCACTTTGGTGTGGTAAGAGAACCTAACGTGATTCGCATTTTCCCTTTCCTTCCTGCCACCCTGATTATCTTGCAAAAATAGGCTTTAACTTTGTTTAAGCCACTTCATTTTCTTCAAAACTTGTTGTATTCATGTCCGCGTCTTTTCAGTGCTATGTAGAGATTAGAGGAAACACATTAAGATAATACTGAATGAACAGCCAAAGTGTTGTGCATTGTCACTTTCTAAATGTTTGACTCTCAGGGATCTGACATAGTGGAGAGATGTGAAGGCAAGAGAATTTTCATTATATGAGATCATGTTTTCAGCATTAGGGAGACATTCATAGGAAATCTTCAAGTAGATCAGAGAGACGATGAGAGTGTGACTGATGTGCTAGCATTGTCAGTGTTAGAAATTGTGATGCAATCTCCAGAAAGCGCCTGACACTGGGTGTGCTTAGCTACTTCTACATTTTATGTTCTCTTCAGTTGACCTGGCACAGGGAGACAGGGAAGTTCTGGTTTGTCAGCTAGCATTGTAGACACAGTGCACACTGATTCTATGGGAAGAAAATGGCTAGGGAAGGGCAGCACTCCAGGAGGTCTTCTCACATCTGCAGATGTGCTGAAACACCTATGCATTGTTGCTCACACATGATCATGTACATTATGTAAAATGTATGCAGAACATGGACATGTGCAAATGTAGTTTATAAATGAACGATTCCAAAAGGGAAATCCACAAATATTGCAGCAAACAGTTGTCAAATAACTCAGGTCAATAATTTACTTCCTTTTATTTTCAAGTTTCTAAAGTGTGGGTTGATTATTGCTTGTCTGGCATTAGTCAAAAATCTCTGGTGTTGTATTATTTTATGGTTGCTGAGTGTGTTCCTATATTTCTTATTTCCCATCAATTCTTCCAGTGTGTGTACAAAGAGCCTCTTCTCTCCTGGTGGGTGGGTGACCAGGGTTTCCATTCAATGGATGAAAGCAAATCCAATACTCCCTGGCCTCTGCTCTCTGTCTTATGTCCTCTGCCTTGAGTGTGTGCATGAGTAGACTGCCTGTCTCTGCAGGCTCCTGGTTACTTGATCATCTGTTCAGGGGAGAGTTGACCTGGCTGTGGTCCACAAGCCCGGAGATCAAAATGAGGGAGATTTGGAGGAATTTTTGGCTAGGATGGGGATCTGGAACTCACCTCTGCCCTCTGACATGAGTGTGGGTGGAATCGGAACCACATTTTTCTATTTTAAACTAGAGAACCTCACTTTTTTCTCCCTAGTGTTCATGTCTCACTTTTTCTTTACATTAGCAATGGGTCACAGAGAACAGGCCAAAACTATGAGCAATTTGGTGTTTGAATTCATTGTACTCTGCTCTCAAACTCGCTGATTATCTAGAAAACTTTCAAGGCAGGCTTGTGCCATGCTCTGGTCCATGGAGGTTTATTTCCTCCTGCTTCTACTCAGCCTAAGGTACTAGAATCCTTTTCTAGCAGGAACTGAGTTTTCCTTGCTCATTGTCACACAAATACTATCCAACACTTGAGTATAATAGGCACTAATTAAATTACTGAGGGCACACCATCACAAATCCTTTTGATTATAGCTGGGTTTGCAATGTGGAAGGCATGAGTAGAGTTTCCTCCAAGCTGGGGTGCTCTCTAATTGCCTTGGTGATATCAGAATTAGTCTGTGTGGAAATTGCTATGTTTATGCTTATGCACAACCCTTTGATATATGCACAACCACTCATAGTAGATTCTTCTAGAGGTAAGTCTCAATAGACATGCTGTTTGTAAGATATGTTCCTTATGTTGAATGCTACACAATGCCTCCTATTCAATCCTTTTACTGCTATCGTAGGGGATCCTAGGCTGGTTGTGGTATGGTTCACTAAATTGACTGTGCTGAATCACCACATGTAGTGTTTACTTTAGTCTAATTTCTTTAGTGAAAGCTTTGTCTCTCAGACACATTCACACACACTCACTCACTCACACACACACACACACACAATATTCGTTTGTGTTATTGACAGCTAGAATGACCAGATGGCAGGATAGGAGGGACAGCTTTTGATGTTCCCCATCTTCTATTTTCTCTCTCAGAAAAGGGGCACCATTAGAACTTACAAAGATGTAACACTTTTACCCCAGGAACTGTTTCCAAATTTTTTAATTCATGCAGGCATGACTGTTGAGGGCAGCAAGAAAGTTCTCTGGAAACATATATAGAAATGAAGGATGATCTTATAAAGGTGGCAGCTGACCTCCAAAGAAAAGACCTGGAAGAGGAAGCATTTGTGGAGAACCACAAATTTTTAACGTGAGAGCTTGCTGTTCCCATCTCCTATCCTGTCACTGACCCCTCACTACTCATGTCCTCCTCTTCATGCTTCTGTCCTGCGCTGACCTTAAGGAACTTGACAAAGACATGTCTTAGACTGATTTCTGGCAACTCACACACATGCTTTTCCTTACTATTCAAAGAGATCAGGACCCAAGGTGGTGGTATCACAAACAAGGCATTTCAAGAGTAGTTCATAAGCTTGTGCCACATGGCCCAGATTTTAGGGGAAAACCTGGAAGGAAAGCATGATGTCTGAATTTGTGAGTGTGTTGAGTGCACTATCTAAACACAGGCATTCAGCCACAGGCTTGTTACTGTGTGTGCCAGATCACAGAATTATCCTCCCTTAATCCTGTAGTCTACTGATTAGGATAAGAAAGCGGTTAGCCTTCTCTGTAGCTACACAGTCACCAAAGGACTGTGCACTATCTGGGGTCAATGTGGCTCAGCACAGTCCCTGGGCTGCTCAATGTAATTGGGTAGGCAGAATAAATACAAGGTGGCAGAGCTGTCACATGAAATGACACTAATATCCTCAGTGATAAGAATGTTCTGTGTTTGAAGAAGAAATGATCATAAAGGTCTCACCCCTCATGCTTAGCATGAGTTTGGCGAAACAGAACCTAAGGGGATATGTGCAGGTGACTCTATGGTGCCAGGCACTGGGGAATAATGTGTGGACATGACATCATTGATCTTCAGAAGACTGTGTGTGCTGAGCAGGCACATTGCCCTCACATTCTACAAAGTAAAAGAAAGCTCAGACGTAAACATGAACTCACACACCACAGGTCACAATTCTAAGAGCATGGCTTCTTTGGTTTTTCATCGTTGGTATTCTGCAAGGTGAAGGCAAATCTAGTGACTACACTAAATATCGCTCTCATTGCCTCTCCTATGCAAAGACAACTAACGTTTACTATGGTACTTCTGTGCGTTAAGCAGACATCAGTTTGTCACACTGATTTTCAGTCCCACCCTCCACTCAAGAATATTTCTTGTTTCTTGGACAGACAAGATTGTTGACACAGATTACTAGTCTGTGTTGTTGTGGTATCTGACTATGCTCCACTGCACAGCTCCCCACAGCCTCTATGTACCCACAGTGTCTCCTTTCTCTACCTATTGCTCTCAGAGGTGAGGTTGTGCCCTCCTGGAGTCAATGCACTGTGTTTTTGTTTACAGCAAACATCCATGTACTTATTGGGGGTGGAAGAATGAGACCACTCTCTGTATCCTGTTTTGAAGTTCAGGAGGATGGTCTGATTCTTCACACTCCTGTGAGTTCACTAACTCTATCTGTGCTCTACGGAGTGCTCGGAAGACAAGCATGCACCATGTCGGCTTTCATGTACTTCTTGATGGCTGATGTTTCCTAAATGTACCAGCTGATGGAAGAGTGAGTACTATTCTCTCTCCAGACCCTGGGAGGGAAAAGGATGTGGGACTTCAGGATTTGCCTCTTCTTGCTCCAAGACATTCTGAAAATGCATAGAGAGCCCTAATTTCTTCAGGGTATCACTTATACATTTGGACCATCTCTACACACCATGGTCACTCTGCTTTATTCCTTTAGACTCTTTGTGGCCAGAAACTCAGAAAAGGCCCTCAATAGCCCAACTCCATTTCCAAGGCAACAAGATCCAAAATCAATAAGGTGAGTCTTCATTGTCTATATGGCTAACCTGAAATCACTGAACAAACAGGGAGCTACTCAGAGAAAAGTCAGAGATCCTGACCCTAAGTGGGTGGGGAGCTGAGGCTGCCTCAGCAACACAGAACAGTCGAAAGTGATAGCATGTAAGGAAGTTCAAGTCCTGTGTAAGATATTAGTGCCTCTCCCCACTTGTTTTCTCTCCCTCTTTTCTGACTTTCAGACTGTTCTAATTCTTCTTTTCAGTTTTGTGTTATAGACTATAAATAGAGTCTTTGATATTGCTGAGACGCTGAAGAGCAAACTGCTGAGACAATACAACAAGGAATATGCAGGTTTCCTGTCAGATAAGGTCAGTGTGTGACCATGAAGACAGAATGTTTGTGTGTCATCTAGTCAGCCTGTGACCAGTGTCTGTGTTGTGTTGTTTCTGTGGAATCTGCGTTCAATACATGTGCTCGAAAATCACTTGAACACACACAAAATTACACATTCACACACATGCATAGACATACAGT